CTGCTTGGTCGGGTATTCTGTGTTGTTGTTGGCGGAGCTCTCTGCTACACATCCACTCGATCCGCCATCTTGTTTGTTCTCCCTCTAAAGATAATTTAAAAGTGCCTGCAAACATACATTGACAGAGAACTTCCAGAGGTTCAAGCCAGATTCAGATGAGGATGTGGAACAATGATATCATTGCTGATGTCAGATGGATCTTGGCTGAAAGCAGAGAATACCAGAAAGATGTTTACCTGTGCTTTATTGACTATACAAAGGCTTTCATTTGTGTGGACCATGGAACGCTATGGACAACATGGTGGAGAACAACATGGTGGAGAACAATTAAGTGCAGAACACTTAATTGTGCTCATGAGGAAACTACATAGACCAAGTGGCAGTTGTTCAAACAGAACAAGGGAACACTGAGTGGTTTAAAATTAGGGAAGTTGTGTGTCAGGCTTATATTCTTTCATCATATTTATTTAGTCTTTATGCTGAGCACATAATTTGAGAAGCTATATTGTATGAAAAAAAACCATGGCAACAGGATTAGAGGAAGACTCATTTCAACCTGCTGGCTGAAAGTGAAGAGAACTTCATATACTTACTGATAAATATCAAAGACTACAATCTTCTCACTGTAAAGAAAACAAAAATCTTCACAGTGTAAAGAAAACAAAAATCCTCACCAACATCCATATAAATGAAGAATAGATTGAAATTGCCAAATACTTAATTTTGCTCTGATCAACAATCAACAGTCATAGAAGCAGCAGTCAAGGAATTAATCTATATACTGCATTAGGCAAATCTGTTGCACAAGACCTCTTTAGAGAGCTGAAGAGCAAAGATGTCGGTTTGATGACTATGGTGCACCTGACCCAATAACTTTATATGCATATGAAGGTTGGACAGTGAGTAAAGAAGAGCTTAGAACAATTGATTCATTTGAGTTATGGTGTTGGAGAACGCTATTCAGAGACCATGGACTGCCAATCTGTGTTGGAAGAAATACATCCAGAATGCTCCTTATAAGTCTGGATGGCCAGACTTCGTCTCCCATACTTCATACATGTTGTCAGGAAGGGCCCTGGAGAAGGATATCATGTTTGGTAAAGTAGAGGGTAGGAGAAAAAGATGAAGACCTTCAACTATATAGATTGGCACAGTGACAGCAGCAATGGGCTCAAATGTAGCAACAATTGAGAGGTTGGCACCGGATCTGGCAGTGTTTCTTTCTGTCATGCATAAGTTCGCTATGAGTCAGACCAACTTGATGGCACCTAACAACAATATTGTGAACCTGTGCTTGATGTGAGGACCACAATTATGAATAAGACAGATGGGATTTTTTATTTGACTTTAAAGTTTTTGAGACAGACACACAGTAACTCCTGAATTATGTAAACAAATACAGAACTGCTAGAGTTGGAGTCCTGGGTGGTGTTTATGATAAACACTGTATTGCTTACCACAAGGTCAGAGATGCAAATCTACCAGCTGCTTCTTGGAAATCCTCTGCAGGGTCACCTTGAGTCAGAACTGATGCAACTACACATAACAACAACAGATTTGGAAACCTACCAAATGATATTGTTGTTAGTTATCACTGAGTTGGCTCCAAGTCGTGGTGATCATGCATACAACAGAAGAAAATATTTCTGGTCCTGTACATCTTCATGACCATTAGTATGTTCAAGTCCATTGTGTGGCTGTGGTGACTGTCCATCTCACTGAACTTACCAAACATGATGTCTCTTTCTAGTAATTGATCTTTCCAGATGACATGTCCAATGTAAGCATCCAGTCTTACCATCCTCACTTCTAAAAGAGAGAGAAATCTAACTTTTGGTTGCATTGCTTTTAAGACTCATTTGTGAATTCATTGGGGGCCCACAGTTTTTTCACCAACACAACCATAGTTCCAATACATCTTATGCATATGGGAAAATTAGAAATACCTGTGTCTGGGTCAGATGCACCATAATCAAAATGGCATCCTTGTTTTTGTTTTCGTTTTTTAAAAAACTTTAAAGGAATTTTGGCAACATATTTGCTCCATGCAATATTTCATTTGATTTCTTGGCTCTTGCTCCCATGGACATTGATGTTGATCCAAATGACCATTCCCGGAAAATTTATCTTACCTAACTGATTGTTATTGTTGTTGTTGTTAGGTGCCACCTTGTCGGTACTGACTCATAGCAACCCTATGCACAACAGAATGAAACACTGCCCGGTCCTGGACCAACCTGATAATTGTTGCCACGCTTGAGCCCAATCATGCTGCCACCTTGCCAATCCATCTTTCTAGGAGTTTTCCTCTTTTTCTCTGACCCTCCACTTTACGAAACATGATATCCTTCTTCAGTGACTGGTCCCTCCAGGCAATATGTACAAAATATGAGTGACGAAGTCTGGCCCCAAGGAGCACTCTGGCTGCACGTCCTCCAACACAGATCTGTTTTTTTGGTGGGTTTTTTTTGGCAGCCCATAGCACTTTCAGTGTTCTCCTCCAACTGAAATTGAGTCATGTTCATATAGAGACAAGATAAGAAAGAAATCACAAAATTCATAGTAGAGGTGCTGCAAGTAATGGCCATATTGTCCCTCCAAACAGAAAAATGAACCTGTCTTCCAGAAACATTTCCCAGATTGCATCTCTTTGACAAAGTCTTTTTTTTTTTTTTTCATAAATAAGAGCGTTATATATAATGCTTAAATTTTGTTGTTGTTGCTGTTGTTAAGTGCCGTCGAGTCAGTTCCAACTCATAACAACCCTATATAGGGTTTCCCAAGAGCAACTGGTGAGCTTGAACCACCGACCTTGCAGTTCAAATGGCTTTGCAGTCTGGTGCATTAACACACAACACCACAGAATCACATTTATTTATTCATTTATTTACTAACTTCTTATTTCATGCTTTGTTATGTCTTGTTAAGTGCCGCATAGTCAATTCTAATTATAGCCACCCTATGTAGGGTTTTTGAGGTGCAGCTGGTGAGTTTGAACCACTGACCTTGAAGTTCAAACCAACTTTATGGAGGAGAGCTCATCCTAAAGCACCATACCAGGACTCCTGTGTTACTTAGAGTGCTGGGAAATACAAAGTTAAAAGGACACACTTCCAATGCTCATAATTGTTTACATGAATATCTATAGGTGAGTTTGTCACTAGTGTCTAATTTTATATATAAATTATTTATTATTTTTCAAAGCCAACATTTCAGCAAACATATATTTCATGTTCCCTACATGGAGCACTGGACTGCTGACCATAAGCTTAGTGGTTCAAACCCACCAGCTGCCCCTTGGAAATCCTATACTGGGTTGCTAAGGATCAGAACTGAATCTATGGCACTTTACAGCAACAACAACATGCTTGGTGAAGAGGATTCAGAGATAGATAAAACATCTTGTCCCTTGCTCTTATTTCTTAAATCATAGAGTAGTTCTACTATAACAAGTTTATCATTCCGATCTGGATACCTTATAAAACCTTTCATTATGATCTGCAAGAAATAAATCAGTTACTGACTTTTACAATTGAAAATTGTTTTCCAAGTCAGTTATATACAATTCACATTGGAAAGCTAACGTGCTTTATATAAACAAGCTTTTTAAATTTTTCTTTCAGGAAAGTCTTAATAGACATCGATACTTGAATTCTGCATTTTCTAATGAAAACTCTACTGCTTCCTATGGACTAAATCAGTTTTCTTACTTGTTTCCTGAAGAGTTTAAAGGTATGGTCTATTTGTTCTATGAGGTGATCAGTTTCCTGATTTTAACAGTTGACTTAACTTTTTAGAAATGGTTTTCATTACAAATGTTGTAAATTGAGTAACAGTTAATATTTATTTATATTTATTAACTAAGTGTCAAGCATGTACCAGTTGCCTAGAGTAAATAATAATAATAATAAATCTGTGGCCAAACCAAAGAAAAACAAAAACCAGTTTGCATCGATATGATTCTATTCTGTTTGATGGCAACCAAACCCATGTGTTTCATGGTGAAACTTTGCTCTATAGTGTTTTCAATAACTATGATCTTTTGGAATTAGATTACCATGGCTTTCTTCTGAGACACCTCTCGGTGGATTCAAACTGCAAAACGTCTGATTACTAGTCAAGTGCTTCACTGCGTAACCACCAAAAAGTGTAATCATATACATTCACACTTGACTATAAATAACATGGAGTCCTGATGTGGCTTTGTAAGATAAGCACTGAACTGCTAACCATAAGGTTGGTAGTTCAAACCCACCAGCCACTCCTTGAAAATCTTATAAAGGAACCAACTCAACGGCACTTAAGAAACAACATAAGGAATATTGTTTGATCATTTCTGCAGTTTTTCAGTGCTATTTCTGTTCAAGACACACTTGTTTCCCAGGGAAATAAATGATCAAATGAACCATGGCAATTATACTCATTTTATTATTTTCTTGATTCTACAAGACAAGTCATTTTATGTGTCAACTCCAGCCTTATTTAAGGAATCGTCTTCTGTATCTTTCAGCTGGATTCTATTTCCTGATATGGAAAAACACAAAGAAAAATCTAGAATGACATGTTCTTGAAAAGTTTCTACAGACTATTTCTTCTTGAAAAGTTCCTAGATAAAACATCCTGTGGTCCTCTCCCTACAATATAATATTGGTTGTCTTTTCATTTCATATTCTTTCTGTTCAGCAATTTATTTGAGAAGCAAATCGTCTAGATATCCCAGATACCCAGCAGATGTACACTTTTCAATCTCCAGTGTATCCTTGCCAGTAAGATTTGACTGGAGAGATAAGCATGTTGTAACACAAGTGAGAAATCAACAGAAGGTAAGCTTCAGATTCTTTCTGAAACATCTTAGCATTGGAAGGCATTATTGGGATTATGTTCAATCAAACTTGTAACTGTACCCGTCATCTCTCAAGATAAGATAGAAACTCAGTCATTCAAAAATAGCAATGGAAGGAGAATCTTGGGGGTGGGGGTGGGGGTGATGAGCAGATGCCAAAGCCCTGGCATTTCTTCCTGAACATCAGTCTTCATTTGTGTGTTCTCACACTAATTAATAGCCATTGCCACCAACCAGCATACTCACTCAGAGCGTTCCCTGTAGCTGTGAATGCTAAGTGATTCAAAAGGGAAGTAATTTTGAAATATTAACATAAAACTTGATAACACTTACTAACTAACAATAGTCTGATTTCTTGTGTTCTCATGCTTCATCCCATGGTATCCATCAAAACACTGGATCCCAGCCCAGCCCCCTATGGAATCATGTACTTTTAAATCTGTGATCCTTAGAAATACTGTAAGTCGTGCTATGTGGTAGCATTCTGCATTTTCTGTTGAAAACTCTACTGCCTCTTATGGACTAAATCAATTTTCTTATTTGTTTCCTGAAGAGTTTAAAGGTATGGTCTATTTGTTCTATGAGTTGATCGTTTTCCAATTTTAACTAGTTGATTTAACTTTTGAGGAAATGTTTTCAGTACAAGTCTACTAAATTGAGTAAAATACCTGACAATCTGCTTCCATAACGATTGTTGTTGTTGGTAAATGCCATCGTGGGTTGCGACCCTGTATAGGGTTTCCAAGGAGAGGCTGGTGAACTTGAACTTCCAACCTTGTGGTTCAAACCCACTTTGCAGTCCAGCACATTAACTCATAGCACCACACCAGTACTTCTCCATAAAGATTACAGCCAAGGAAATCCAAGGAGCAACTCTACTCTATAACAAGCGAATTATATCTGTGTCAGAATTATAACAATGGTACCTCTGACTTTGGCCTTCCACTCTCTTAGACTGCCTGTAAGCAGCATTGGAGACTTCTTTCAATATTCTTCCTCACAACTTTGGGATTTCTGTCCTTGTGTCCCTTTAGTATCTTTGGATTCATATTCTGGGATTGGAAAAAATGGCAGCCCTTTTTCTCCTCACCCTTAGTTAAAGACAAGAAAGAGGATGGTTTTCATTGGCCCACAGGACACTACCTTTAGGGACTGGAAGAAAATGATAAAGGAGTTAAAGTCTGCATTAACATGTCCTCTCACAAGGTTTGTTTTTGCTTTGCTCTTGAGTTGGTTCTGACTCATGGCAACCTTATCCACAACAGAACAAAACACTGCCTGGTCCTGCTGCTTACAGTGTGCCAATTCATCATGTTGGGCATATTCCTATTTTTTGATGACCCTTCATTTTGCCAAGCATGGTGTCCTTCTGCAGGGACTAGTCCCCCTGATATTTCCGAAGTATGAAAAATGAAGTCCGGCCATCCTTTCTTATAAGGAGCATTCTGGCTGTACTTCTTCCAACACAGTTTGTTTTTCTAGCAGTTCATGATATGTATTTTTCTCCAATAGAATAACTCAAATGCTTCAGTTCTTCTCTTGTCTTCCTTAGTCATTGTCAAACTTTCACATGCATATGAAGCTATTGAAAATACCATGGCTTGGGTCAGGCACGCTTTACTCCTCAAACTGACATCTTTGCACTTGAACACATTAAATATTGTTGTGATACTTTGATTTCTTCACTGTTGCTTCCTTGAGTGTTGATTGTTAATGCGAGTAAAATGAAATCTTTGATAATTTCAAATTTTTCACCATTTATATGGATGTTATTTACTGGTCTTGTGGTGAGGATTTTTGTTTTTACATTGAGGTTTAATCCATACTGAAGGCTGTGATCTTTGATCTTCAGCAGTAAGTATTTTAAGTCCTTGTTGCTTTCAGCAAGCAAAGTTGCATCATCTGCATATCGCAGGTTGCTAATGAGTCTTCCTCCAATTCTTCTTCATATAACCCAGCTTCTTGGATTATTTGTTTAGTGTACAGACTGAATAAGTATGGTGAAAGGATATAACTCTGACACACAGCTTTCCTGATGTTAAACCATTCAGTATTCCCTTGTTCTGTTCAAACAATTGCCTGTTGATCTATGCACAGGTTCCTCATGAGCACGATGAAGTGCTACAGAATATTCACTAACCACAATGTTGTCCAGAGCTTGTCATGATCCACACAAAATCAAAGGTCTTTGCATAGTCAATAAAGCACAGGTATTTCTAAGATTCTCTGTACTCAGCCAAGATTCACCTGCCATAAGAAATGATATCCCTCACTCCACTTCCTCTTCTGAATCCCGTTTGAACCTCTGGCAGTGCCCTGTCAATGTACTGTTGCAGATGTTTTATCTATATGGATTATCCTTTGCAAAATTGTATTTGCTTGTGATACTAATGATATTGTCCAATGATTTTCGCATTCCGTTGAGTCACCTCTCTTTAGAATGGGTGCAAATATGAATTTCTTCCAGTCAGTCGGCCAGGTAGTTGTCTTCAAAATTGTTTGGCATAGATGAGTGAGTGCCTCCAGTGCTACATCAGTTTGTTGAAATATTTCAATTTGTATTCCATCAGTTCCCAGAGCTTTGTTCTTTGAAAATGCCTTCAGTGCACTTTGGACTTCTTTAAGACCACTGACTTCTTATCATATACGACATCTTGAAATGGACTCCTGGTGTGGCGCTGTGAGCTAATGAGCCAGACTGCAAAGCCATATGAACCACAAGGTCAGCAATTCAAGCTCACCAACTGCTCCTCGGAAACCCTATACAGGGTTGCTCGCTATGGGTCAGAATCGACTCAACTGCACTTAAAAACAACAACCTTTTGAAATGTTTGAACATCAACCATTTCTTCTTAGTGCAGTGACTCTCTGCATTCCTTCCATATTCTTTTGATGCTTCTGCATTATTCAATATTTTTCCCAAAGATTCTTTAGTCTTGTAGGTGGAGGCTTAAAATTTTACTTCTGTTCTTTCAGTTTGAGGAACGTTAAGCATCTTCTTCCCTTATAGCTTTCTAACTCCAGGTCTTTGCACATTTCATTATAATATTTGATTTTGTCTTCTCAAGATGGCCTTGAAAATTTTCTGTTCAGCTCTTTTACCTCCTCATTTCTTCCATTTACTTTAGCATCTCTATATGGGAGAGCAGGTTTCTGAGTCTCTTCTGACATCCATTGTGGGCTTTTCTTTCTTCCTTGTTTTTTTAATAAACTTTTACTTTCCTTCTGTGTGATATTCTTGATGTTATTCCACAATTCTTCTGGTTTTCAGTCCTTAGTGTCTAATGTATCAAATCTGTTCTTGAGATGATCTTTAAATTCAGGTGGGATACGTTCAAGGTCATATTTTGGCTCTTGTGGATTTCTTTTAACTTTTCTTCAGCTTCATCCTGTTCCACAGTCTGCCCCTGACCTTGTTTTGGCTGATGATGATGAGCTTTTCCGCCATCTCTTTCCACAGATGTAGTCAATTTGATTTCTGTGTATTCTATCTGGCAAAGTCCATGTATATAGTCTTCTTTTATGTTGTTTACAAAAAGGTATTTGCAATGAAAAAGTCATTGGTCTAGCAAAATTCTATCATGTGATTCCGAGTATCACTACAAACCAAAAAAATCCCCACTACCATCTAGTCAATTCTGATTCATACCAACTCTATATAGTTTCTGCACTGTATATCTTCAAGAGAACAGACAGCCTCATCTTTTTTCCTGCAGAGAAACTTGTGGGTTTGAACTGCTGTCCTTTCAGTAATCAGTCCAATGCCTATCCTGTGTAGTTTTGTCTTTTTGCATTTCAATGACGATTACTTCATTGATCTCCATAACCTGAGCTGACTTTTCTACCTAGAATTAAACTGTCATAGTAGATCCCCTTAGAAGGCACTTTTTTTTATTGGACCTTGCTCTTTGGATCGTGGTGGTAAGTCCAAGACTTATCCTTGGTTAACATTCATTCCTATAATCATTAGATAAAGTTATGAAATGGATACCATACATTGTCTTCATTAACTTTGATCTTGCATAAAAGACTGATGGAAAGATCCATTCTTTAAGTTTCTTGATGTTCACACAACAGTATTTTTATTACCCATTTTTTGAAGGGTAATAGTTTCTCTAAAGAGAGAGAAATTTTTTTTTTTTAGTTTCTCTAAGGGAGAAAGATGAGGTGTTCTACTCCCGTAAAGATTTACAGCCTTGGTTGCTATGAGTCGGAACCGACTCCACGGCACACCGCCACCACCGCCAGATTCTCTAAGGAAATTAGGCAGGTGTAATAAAGGAGCTCTGGTAGCATAGTGGTTACGAATCGGGCTGCGAACCTTAAGGTCAGCGGTTCGAAACTACCAGCCGCTCCGCGGGAGAAAGATGAGGCTTTCTACTCCCGTAAAGATTTACACCCTCGGAAACCCTGTACAGGGTCGCTATGGGTCGGCCCGACTCGATGGCAATTAACAACAACAATACTGGGAAAACCTGTCTTCAACCATTTTCTGATCACACAGACATGTTTATATACATTTCATTTGGAAGAGACTGAAACGCTAGTGGCAATACTTTTTATACTTACCTGATATCTAGATAATTAAAAGAGACATATTTTTCTTCTCTTTTTTCAATTTGAAAATATAAAGGATGGACATACATATTTTGTGGACTTCCAGGTTCTGTGAATTTACTTGCTCTGATATATTTTCTATTTAGAGTTGTTGGTAGACTTGACTTAAACACCATTTTTAGAATATCATTCTCTTCCTGTATTTTCAAACAGTGTGGAGGATGCTGGGCCTTCAGTGTAGTAGGTGCCGTGGAATCTGCATGTGCAATCAAAGGGAAGCCATTGGAAGACTTGAGCGTTCAGCAAGTTATTGATTGTTCATACAGTAATCATGGCTGCAATGGAGGCTCTACGCTTAATGCTTTGAACTGGTTAAATAAGGTGAGCAATTTTAAAGTCTTTCTTTCCTTTTTTGCTTGTTTAATATATGTTCAGTAAATTGTTCAAACAAATTACTCTCATATATTAAATAAGGTTTTCAGGTTCATAAACTTCAATAAGCAAAACATCAGTTAACTAACCAAAAGATTTAAGAATGAATTTTTCCTAGCCAAATTAACCCTCAAGACATCTTAGTATTAAAGATCTTATCTGGAATTAGTTTTCAGTATGTTCTTGTTGTCATTGTTAAATGCTGTCTAGTCAGTTCCAACTCATAGCAACCTTGTATAGTGCTCCCAAGGGGTGACTGGTGGGTTTGAACCACTGACCTTGCAGTTAACAGTATAGTGCTTAGCCTACAGTGCCACACCAGCACTCCATATGTGTTTACATTTGTTTCATATCATTTATTAATAGGAAAATGCTTGTTTGCAAATAAGTGCCACATAGTGACCAAGAAATATGAGAAAAAAATTAATTCTTTATTTTCATACAATTTATGAATATTGAGGTGAAAATGAAAAATTAGAGTCAGCTACAAATAAGGCTGCGAACTTCAAGGTCGGCAGTTTGAAACTACCAGCTGTTCTGTGGGAGAAAGATGAGGCTTTCTGCTTCTGTAAAGATTTGCAGCTTCGAAAACCCTGGGCAGGGAGCCAGAACCTACTCCACAGTGCTCAACAACAACAATCTAGTAACTGGTGTGGTGCTGTGAGCTAATGCGTCAGACTGCAAAGTCATTTGAACTGCAAGGTCAGTGGTTCAAGCTCACCAGCTTCTCCTTGAAAACCCTATACAGGGTTGCTATGGGTCGCAATCAACTCAACGGCACTTAACAACAACAACAACAATCTAGTAACAGGTTTTTATGGATGAGGAAATGAAACTTGAGAGATGAAATCACATTATCAATTCATTAGCTGAACTATAATTGCACCTTAAGTTCCTTGTCTCTCACTTTAAGATTTGACCCAAAACACCTACTTGTCATTGGTTGGGTGACCTCATTATCATTTGCATTTACCCCTATTGTGAGAAGTCTACTACCCAACTATTTTGCTCATTACTGCGGGGGCAGGCATAGTGGCTATGGTTGCGGAACAGCCTCCAGGAAGGTCTCTGTGCAGCCTCCAGGAAGCTGGACTGCTCTGCCCTTTACTCTCTATTCCCTCCTGCTGGCAGGGGCCCTGCAGCTTAACATTTTGTCAAGTATGAAAGGAGGAAAGAAAAAAGGATCAGAGAGAATGTTTGGAAGAAATACTGATCCTCACACAACAACCTGGTCTTTGGAACATAACTATGTCCGTAAGTGAGGAGTTAGCATTCTTTCTACACTCTCTAATTCTCTAACACTATCATCAATCCAACATCAACTACATGAAATAGAAAATATGAACACTATTATGTTTTGGTTTTTTATCATCATGAAAGATTACCAAAGACTAGAATATCCTTCAGTTATCCATTCGCAATAATTAGAGTCACTGTGTGCCAGGAGCTGCTGTATACACGTTGTGAAGACAATTAATTCTGCATCTTTTCCCTTGTCTCTGGGTAATGCATGTGTTTACTGAGCTGATAATCGAAAGGTTGGAGGTTCAGTTTCACCCAGAGATACCTTGAAAGAGGCACATTGGTGATCTACTTCCAAAAAACCAGCCATTGAAATCCTATGGTGCAGTTCGGCTTTGATTCATGTAGAGTCACTGTTCATCAAAAATGCAAAACTGTCTTCTCAGCAGCTTTTTCCCCTTTTCATAAGTCTAGCGTTTAGAATAGAAGAATTTTATGCAGTAATGGTAGAATTCTAAAACTGTGTAACATGTGACTAATAAATGTCACACAGAGAGTGGATAGAAGAACGCTAGACCTAACCATTATCTTGTCTTGATAAATCACTGTACTGGACGAAGCTCAAATACTTACAAACACAGAACAGAAAACTGGAAAGAAAATGCTGCCATGTTGTTCCTTGAAAAGCACGGTGATGACTCTAGATTTGTTATCAGATAGGTATAGATTCTAAAGAAGGTAGATAAAGAAAGCAGAAATAAAATAAGAAAGAAGATATTGTCTATAATTACCTGGTGGTGGTGGTTATGTACCATGGAGTTGGTTCTGACTCATAACAACCCTGTATAGGGTTTCCAAGACTGTAAATCATTAGAGGAGCAGAAAGCCTCATCTTTCTCCCACAGAACCACTGGTAGTTTTGAACTGTTGATCTTACAGTTCGCAGCCCAACTCATAACCACTATACTACCAGAGCAAGGATATCCATAACAAGTACCTAAAGATCGAACTTAACATCTTAAGAAACCAAAAAACTACCTTGTGGAAGAAGACCTGGTCAAGGTGAACCTTATTTTGATACATTGAAATAATTCATTTGATTTTTGAAACAACTGTATATCAGTGAACACTTTTTGGGTGGCTGTTTTCTTTTAGACGCAAGTAAAACTGGTGAAAGATTCAGAATACCCATTTAAAGCTCAAACTGAGCTATGCCAATATTTTTCTGCTTCACATTCTGGATTTTCAATCAAAGGTTATTCTGCATATGATTTCAGGTAAATGTTTTTTCTATTTTTTCTCTGCATTCTTTAATTTATGATTCATTGACTATCCAGAATTAATAACATGATTGAAGGCATCATTTTATTTTCTTAACTGTTTTAATATCTTTTTTTTTTTAGACAGTAATCGATAGTCACAATGAAGAGTGATTTTTTTTTAATAGGGTGATTTCTTTAACACAATCAGCTTTCTTTTCAATATTGAATTACAATAGAAATAACAATTTTAAATTGATACACTTAAATTAAGTTTAAGAATGCTTGATGTACAAAAGCGCAGTTGTTTACTGAAAGATTGGCTTTTCAAAGTCACTAGTAGCTTAGTGGGAGAAGAGACTTACTGATCTGATCCCATAAAGATTCCAGCTATGAAACCCTCTGGGGCAGTTCTCCTTTATCCTCTGTGGCATCATTCTGAGTCAGAATAGACTTGTTGGCTCACAACAACAACAAATTCAGTTTAAGGTATCATTCATATTTATTACTTACTTCTTACCAATATAAGCATTATAATAACTTTATTATGTTTCAGTCTTACAGTTGAATCAATCAAGAATCACTCTCTGTAGATTAATATTAACCAATCTAGAAATCTAGACATAGTCTTGAACACTCTTTATATTCCTATCAATTTTCTAGTCACAGGCTGTAATCATCATAAACCAAAACTTGCAGGTTAGGAGCAAGTTGAGAAGAGTATATTACTGAAGATAAATTGTATAGCACACACTCTGAACATGACCAGAATATAAGGATAGATAAAGAGAGTCTGAGCTTCTATTGGATTTTGAAGGGCAGATTGACTTTGGGTAGGTTCCGAGAAAAAAGTCATTTAAAAAATGCTTCAAAAACACATGACCAACAAAAAACCAGCTAGAAAATCATGGTGGCCATTTGAGAGCGTACAAAATAGGTGTTCAGGGATGATAACAACAAAGTAATTCAGCCAACCCTTGGTTTCCATTTTTATTAAGAAATAAATTGGAGAACTTAACATCCCAAAACTGAAACAGAGAAAACAGAGCCATTAAATTAAATTCAGATAAAGTGACAGAATGCCCTATAACTTACTGATGCTGAATATAAAAGAATCTCTTGATCCAGATGGTGTCTACCCATGGGATGTGAAGGAAACCAAGGGTGAAATTGGATCCTTGAAAAAAAAAATTCAAACCCTCTGAAAAAGCATGAATGTGCCAGAGTACACAACTCCTGTGCATAACAAGGGTGACCCTGGGATGTAGACACCAGTGAGCCTCAATTCCACACCTGGCAAACTACATAGGATCTCTAATGAAATGTGTCAGGGTCACTGAACACATTCCTAACACCTCTTTTGAGGCTAAAGACAGCACACTTTCTAAAATGAGGAAGCATTCCTCTATAACTCATTACCTCCCTGAGAGGACAATTAGTTCTTGACTTATGATGGGGTTCCATTTCAATAATGCTGCTGTGAGTTGGCTCTGGTGTAAGTTGTATCCCTCATTTTTTTGTTGTTGTGTTACTGTTGTTTTCATTAGTATTGGCTTTTATGGTCATTATCTTTGTCATTCCTATATTTATTTATTATATTTGGGGGGGGTGGCATGATAACATCAGTAATTTACATGCTGCAACACTGTATGTTGTACCTAGTTCTAATGATAAGATGTACCAAACAAAAACAAAAATATATGGTCCTAAGTATATTTTGTTATAACTCAAGAATGTTGTAACTTAGAGATTACTTATATAAGCAAAGGATGTAGACAAGAAGGAACTACATTTTGAAAATATAGTAAAAGGTGTTCAGGAAATCTCTTGTCATGGTACCACATTGAAAAAGTTAGAAAGACACAAAATAACAGGCACTAGTTTATATTCTGCAGTGTGCATGGGCACACAGAATAGAGAGAATTTAAGGGTCATTGGCATTGAGGCTGAAATAGGAACATCCCAACCTTTCGTTTAAGAAGGAAGAGTTCCAAAAAACTCTCACCATTCATAGTGAGCAGTAGGCTTTTCTGGTTAGCTAATGCTAAGCTGACTGTGTTATGTTAAACTTTTCAGGAAGATTTTTTTATTCACTTATTCATTCATTCATATATTTATTTTATACTACTTTAGGTCCAGAGGATTACTCAATGAACAAAACAGACAAAAAAATCCTGCCCTCAAACAAGTCATAGAAAATGCAATTAAAAATTTAAGATAATAGAATTTTTCCAGGAATTTTTTGAAACCTCCTCACCTTTTAGTGGGATAGGTAGTAATCCAAACAAAACAAAATATGTGTCATGTGTTAGAAGCAATCATTCCTAAGGAGAACCAAGTGAAACAGTGGGAGAATAAGAACTATCTGGTGGTTATTTTTAGGTGCTGTCAAGTCCGTTGGAACCTATAATGACAATGTACAACAGAATGAAACACTGTCTAGTTCTCCAGCATCTTCACAATCTTTTCCATGTTTGAGCCCATTGTTGCAGACAGTGTGACAGTCCATCTGGTTGAAGGTCATCCTCTTTTTCACTGACCATCCACTTTATGAAGCATTTTCCAGGGACTGGTCCCTCCTGATGTTGCTGTTTTTAAGTGCCATCGAGTGTGTTCCTACTCAAAGCAACATTATGTAGGGTTTCCCAGAATTGGCTAGTGGGTTTGAACTGCCAACCTTTTGGTTAGCAATCCAGTGCTTGCCATGCCATCCTCACTCCTAGTGTTGCTTGCAAAGGTGTTTCTTCCATTCTAAGGCAGATTTGTTCCTTCTTCTGTCTGTTGTTGTTAAGTGTTGTTATAGCAACACTGTATAGGGTTTCTGAGAAGCAGCTAATGAATTTGAATCACTAGCCTGGTGGTTCAAACTGACCTTGAAATCCAGTGCTTTATCCAACAGTGCCACACCAGGCCTGGCAATCTATAGTATATTCAATAATTTTCATCAACACCAACTGTATCAACTTTTTATAGATTTTCCATTTTCATTGTACAGCTTTTCCTTGCATACGAGTTGATTGGAAATACAATGGCCTTATTCAGACTCAACTTAGAAAAAGGGTTGTCATGGAGGGACTCACTGAGAGGTGAACATATGAAGAAATGTGGGAATTTATTCATGCAAGTATCTGAAGGAATACTGTCTCAAGCAGAGGAATTTGTAAGTGCAAAGGTCCTGAGGCAAACACATATCTAGTATTTTTGAAGAACCATGATGAAGCTACTGTCACTGCAGGGGAGAGAAGAAGGACAAGAGTAGCAGGAGGTGAGGATATATTACCAGTTATGCCAGAAGAGTCCTGGTGTGGCGCTGAGGATCAGTACTGGACAGTGAACCACAAGGTTGGCAGTTCAAACCCACCAGCTGCTCTTCAGAAACCCTATATGGGGTCTCTATGAGTCAGACAGGACTCCACGACATTAACATCAATGACAACAAAGGTCATAGAAATATATTTGTCTTTCACTACAAGTGAGTTATAAAACCAATGTTGTTAAGTTTCACTGAGCCATAGCAACCCTGTATAGGGTTTCCAAGGAGCGACTGGTGAGTTTAAACCCCCAACCTTGTGGCTCAAACTGATTTTAAGGTCTAGTGTTTTATCCCACAGTGCCATATGGTATGTTCTGACTTACATTTCAATAAAATCACTCTGATTCCCACGAAGTGAACTGGTAGAACTAAGCATAGATGGAAGCACAGTTGCCAGGTAGCAGTGAGGTTGCCAGCTTTAGTAAATGAAAATACATAGCATCTAGTTAAAATTTTATTTCAGATAAACAACAAATACATACATGTATATGTTGTCTTTTTTTTTTTTTTTTTTTTCCACAAACACACACAGGAGCATTTTGAAGCCCCCATGTGTGTATACTTGTATATTTAAATGACCTCTGGTGGTGCTGTACGTAGGCAGTGGGCTACTAACCACAAGGTTGGCAATTCAAATCCACCAGCTGCTCAGCTGGAGAAAGATGATGCTGTCTGCTCCTGTAAAGATGTACAGTCTCAGAAATTCTATACTAGAGTTGCTATGGATTGGTGGGATATATATGTAAACCCAAAATCCACTTTCATGGAGTCAATTCTGATTCAATGACTCTATACAATGGCTGGTGAGTTTGATCCACCAGCCTTGTGGTTAGCAATCCAGTACCTAATCCATAGATCCACCAATATTCCTTTGTATTTAGTGTTGTTGTTGTTATGTGCCGTGGAGTCAGTTCCGACTCCTAGTGACTTTGTACAGGGTTTCCAAGGCTGGAAATCTTTACGGGAGCAGAAAGCCTCATCTTTTTCCCACGGAACAGCTGGTAGTTTTGAACTGCTGACCTTGTGGCTTGCAGCCTGATTCATAACCACTATGCTACCAGAGCTCTTGTATATTTAGTGTTGTTGTTGTTGTTGTTAAGTGCCATTGAGTCAATTCTGACCCATAGAGTCCATGTATAAGGTTTCTAAGGAGCAGCTGGTGAGCTTGAACCACTGACCTTGCAGTTCAAATGACTTTGCAGTCTGACACATTAGCCCACAGCGCCATACCAGAACTCCCCATATTTAGTGTAAGTAGCCCCAAATATTATATCCTCAATAGTGCATGCAGCATCCTTATACTCTGAAGCAGGGTGGAAATTACAGAGGAAAACAGGGAGGACTCTACTAGTTCTAACAGAAAGAATTTTGCCTGGGGAATGAGATGCTTAGGTGTTAGAAGACTGTTGTGAAGTGCCGTGGAGTTGATTCCACCCATAGTGACCCTGTATAGGGTTTCCAAGGATCAGCTGGTGAGCTTGAACCACTGACCTTGCAGTTCAAACAGCTTTGCAATCTGATGCATTAGCCCACGAAGTCTGCAAAGTGTATGCTGAACTAATTTAAATATATATAGTTTCAGGAAGCAACTACCACCCCTAGAGCTGGATAGAATAAAAGAACAAAAGGACATTATTAAAACATAGGCATTTAGAAGGATGACCCATTGGCCTGGTGCTCAGGCCTCTGAGACAGGGACTTTCTGCAGCTTATACTTAGACTCCGCAGAGGGATGCCACAACAACGGCACTCAGGGTGCCCTGAAAATCTAAAGGCTGGAGCCAACTCTTTCTAGGGTGGAACAATACAGTCAGGAATTAAAAAGCAGAAAGTTCCTT